GCACCGACATTGAAAAGGTTACAGACATTAATGGGCCGTAACTCTAAAAGTTGTGGATCAAAAATCATGGAAATCAAACTCAATCTAGCTTTGATTGTACTTAAGCTTGCAATGAAAGTTAAAAGAAATCTGTTAAGGCTTAATAAATTCCAAAATCGCTAGGACATTGAAATGTTTACGAACAGAGGGACATACGGACGGAAGATGGACGGATGGAAGACGAGAATACCATAATATGTCCTGTCATTTGACGGATGTATAAAATACATAAATATCAAACAAAAAAAAGAAGTAAATAAATGTAAAGATCATAAATCTAAAATAATAAGCAAAATCACTTGAGGTACGCATATTGTGCATAAAAATACATTGAAAAATTAATTTAAGATTAGAAACAAGAGGCCCATGGGCCTTATCGGTCACCTTAGAATCAATCACTTCACAAGCAATGGTAAGAACTGACAGTATTTCTGATATTGATTTACATTTATTATTAACAGCTAATAGTTGTCTGCTGTTTAAAGAATTATAAAAAAAATCATCACATGTTTTGTTTTTTATTTGTCTATTTCATTATATCTAGGAACATTTATCTTATAGTGATATAGTGACAGCTGTCAGTTGCTCACTTATTATGAGTCCATACTAGTTTATGGAGAAATTACTGAAATTAGCATGTCTATGTGTGCTTGATGATGAAGATAATGATGTTGACTGTGTCTAAGAATCTGCAGCATCCTTATGCATGGAAGTTAAAGTGTGTGAAGAAGCTGATAATGAGGATGTGTGATGCTGCTGTGTGATGCTGCTGATGTTGGTATATATGATGATGTTGAGGTGTGACGATGCTGATTTGGTATGTGATAATGCGGATGTGTAATGCTGCTGAAGTGTGATGATGCTAATGTTGATAGGTGACCATAATGATGCTGATGGTATGTGATGATGCTAATGTGTGACGAGGATGATGATTGTATATGATGACGTTGATGTCAGATGCTGATGTTGTTTGTATATGTAACAATGCTGGAGTGCTAGTATGGCTGCAAGTTATAAATATATGTTTAGAGTGATTGTGTTACATAGTGTCTATGATAGTTAAGATATAGTGTGCAACTCAAAATGCTGTGTGTTTAGTGGTGAAAATGATGCATGACTATACTCTGGAAGTGTGTGACGATGGGAGTTATAGACTGATAGTATATATGAATCTATTTATTCCTCATGTGTTTTTCGATAAATAAAAAATAAACAAATACATATAAATAAATAAAAATAAAATTGATATTATCCCTGTTAATAATTAACATTTAAAATTACTTTTGCTAAATGATTCTCTTGGCATGTTTAAATGGGTTAAAATTTCCCTTGCACCGGTTGCAGTGCGCTTCCATAAAATTCTACAACGATACTACGCGATCTCTAAAAACTACAGCTCAAGCACCATTTCATCAATTAAATAATATTAATATAATACAAAAAGAACTATTACTTACGCATAAGAACTCACCACAGTTCCCCTGTAAGCAATTTCTTTCCGTGAGGTGCGCGTAATACCCGCCATGCTTACATAAAAATAAAATCAAGTAGGAAAGCTCCGTGCGGGGAGGTAACTCTGCACGAACGTCAAAAATATTCTGATATGACAGGTAGTTGTTCATTACAGGTAGTCGTTCATTATAGGCAGTTGTTCATTACAGGTTGTTGTTCATTACAATTAGTTGTTCATTACAGCATTACAGGTAGTTGTTCATTGCAGGTTGTTGTTCATTACAGGTAGTCGTTCATTACAGGTAGTTGTTCATTACAGGTTGTTGTTCATTACAGGTAGTCGTTCATTACAGGTAGTTGTTCATTACAGGTTGTTGTTCATTACAGGTTGTTGTTCATTACAGGTAGTTGTTCATTACAGGTAGTTGTCCATTATAGGTAGTCGTTCATTACAGGTAGTTGTTCATTACAGGTAGTTATTCATTATAGGTAGTTGTTCATTATAGGTAGTTGTTCATTGGAGGAGCTTGTTCTTTATAGGTAGTTGTTCTTTATATACATTGTTTTATACAAATGTTCATTACAGGCAGTTGTTTTCATAGACAGTTGTTCTGACCCACTAATATGTTATTTATAAGCAGATGTTCATCATACAGGTAGTTGATATTGTAAACAGTGAAGTTTTTATGGATATTTGTTCACTGAAATAGTTATAATTTTGTATTGCCGGATAATATGTAAATATAGATTCAGAGTAGATGTATAAAACGTTTATATTGTAAACAAAACAACCCGTGTCTAGATAGCGGACTGTTTAACTTTCCTGTCTTGTCTGCCCACACACAATTTTTGTACGTTTCAGGTAAATGTATCGCGTCAGTGGATAACACATTTCAGTTAACACCAAACTATTATAGATAAATACACTTTTACTGAGTTAGACTATAATTACTATAGTTACGGTGAGTAGGCGAAACAGATACAGATGTCGTGACAGTTGTATACATAATGCCAACTCATACTGTATGTATTTCTGTTGTAAGTATATCTCCAAATCACAAAATATCATTATAACAACCTGTATCAATTACTTCAAGACTATGTGTCTAGAATTTAGTGAGCTCTAGTTTCAAACTGACAAGATAGACTAGTGACAGAAAATGCATATGAACAATTAAAAAACCCTGAAGGGCCGAATTGGACATGCGTATGCATTTTGTGTACATGTATTTCTTATGTTGTATAATGCATATTTACGAAGTAGATATATGAAAGTAATCATATCACAATTTTTAATGTATCTAGTGATAGACTCCGACTTTAACTATACACCAATACTTGACTGGACAAAAAAATATATACGAGCTTAGAAATTATTTGCACCCCTCCCCCTCCACTCCCCATAGTTCAATGTGTTCGACCCAACAGAATTTAGCCGGTACACGATGGATTTTAAAGAAAATCTCTTTTTGATTTACAAGCATATCAAACGGCTATTGAAGATTTGTTTCTAATTTACATAGTGACATTACCAAAATTGACAGAACAGACAGCCTCGTGGGAGTTACACATACCAGAACTGGGAACATTGTCACGTGATACCGACATTTAATAAGTATCACTTACATCAAAGTTTCTACAGTCAACAAAAATTCGTGTAGCTTGATAAAAGGAGAATGATACAACTTAATTTCCTCGTTAGAAAATGTAAACCTTTTAAGCCTATCTTTACACATCGTCTCCACGCATGACTAGATCTAATCTTGCCACTTACTCGAGAACATTAATGACACTTGAATGGTCACAAACCTCAAACGTGTAGTTGATGTTTCGTTAGCGATGACATGATCGTCGCCTCTTTATTAAGTAAAGTGGTATAACATGAGACATGAATCGACGTTTTTTCATACATTTTTTGTCTTTTACCGTTCAATACAATTTTGATGGATAAAAAATCTAAATTACAGTATGGTAATTTTCATCATCTCCTCCCCCTCCTCCTCCTCCTCCTCCTTCTTCTATTCAGCGTATTGACTACTGTTAACACCTGTAATAATTGGAAGTCCCATTAAAACCGTTACGTGAGTGCCTAAACTTTAGCACGTAAACTTTACATAACTGTTTTAAAAGTTCCGGTAGTATTGTCTGTCGAACATTTGCGGATTTTTCAAATCGCAGTTCAATGAACGATATGTAGTATAACACTTGTATACTCTGTTATCAAACCTGTTACTTATGTTTCTATTTGTATCTAGTAATTTTAATCATCCTGTTGTTATTATTATACATAATTCATAATATATTTCTCATTGTCCTGTGGGTGAGAAATGAAATGAATTGAATTGTTTATCTACGATCTAGCCATGTACAAACTCAAAAAATAATTTACTAATTAAAAAATAATCATGACTTAACCTTTGTCACCGGGTTATTTAAGGACCCGCGTGACCAATTAAGTACTACTAAAATGTCTTTTGCCGCATGGAAGACCTTTCGTCCGGGCAGGAACTCTTTCTAGATTGGATCCATTGCGCCACCACTTCTGTCCTTTCACGACAAACACACATAACTGTATGAAATCACCATTAGGTATACCCTGTAGCGTCAGACACGTCTAAATTTCATATTCAACAATAAACATTTTCAAATGAGATCATGACGTGGACAGTGACATAAGCAGTCTTTATGCATCAATATGAGGTCTAAACAGACACCTAAATATAACAATCTTAGATACGTCTCTGATCCGAAGGGTCCTGATTGTCTGTCCGTGATCGGGTTTTGTCTTCGTTGTAGTTGATCAAAATGATATCGTGGATTGATAGTCAGAACCCTTCGGATTACGTCTACCTTTACTGTTTCTCTTAAAACAAGTTTTCCCTTCAGCTGTCGAGATGGTGAGAGCTTGGATGAAACCCCTTATTATGATTGACTGCGACATAGTTTGAGGAAACAAACAAGGTTATTACCATTTAGAAACGGAAAATTCACAATTTACGTAAACTGAAATGACCATGTTTATCATACAACCTATAGTTGAAAGTTGTCACAGTTATGAATAGGTTGCGTTGGACGTTTATTTATGCACATACTATACAGTCATAATCTGTATTAATACTTCCCTGGTTTATGTAAAAGCGTATAATATTATTTTTTACAATTAATCCAATGGACTAGGTTGAAAATTTCTATTTAAAAAAAAACAATGTCAATATTCACTTTTATCATTATGTTTTACTATATGTATATCCGCATTTCAGGGACAGAACTTTTCGGTGTACCAATGGACATGCATTATGCATTGAAAATAATATGATTATGTTGGAGCTATATCACACTATAAGACGATTATGCATAATTACCAAGCCTATCACTAGTCTAAGATGCCATAAGTAAAGGAAGATACTATGGTAGAGCCTTTACCAGGCACGTTAATTACTTTACATCATAAATAATAAATCCTCCCCTACTTTCAATGCGCATGCGTATTGTTATACCGATATCAACATCCTGACCATGCTGTCGCTGTCACTGAAGGAGGTAAGGCGACCAAATGGCTATACGTTAAATGCATTTTGGGTAGCTTAGAAGCATTCACTGTTTATTAATTTCCAACAAATATCAGAAATCAAGGGTTCCATTCCCTGAACAGACTTGAAAAGAATAATGGGGTCACCTACCCGACCTTGTGCTGTTGTGAATTTCCTCCGATTACTCCGGTTTCCTCACACAATAAGAGAATATGACTACACTACAGTAAAGGCATATTTTAAAGAAATCATCAGTCCATCACCGGGAACCGTTGTTAGGTCTGTCTTTTCCTCCGTCCGTCTTTCTATAGCTTTTCCGGCTCTTATCTCCTACTCTACAGATACTTGTCACTGGAACTTCACGCCGGGGCTCTGGACAGACTCGTCTGCTACATACTACTAATACTACTCTTACTACTGCACACTACGACTTAATTCGTGGTTTACGGGTATACGTAGAGGGAAAGGGGGGGGGGGAGCATTAAGAATTGAACTTGTTTGGAAGAGATAACGTCTAATATTGTCCAAGGATCTCTTAAAACAGAAGTTTGACTGATCTCTCTGTATGCTTAATTATTATTGTGCGACATGTAGCAGTGTTTGCTTAACTGAAATTTGTTTTAACAGTGCTTTTTTCACTACATTAGGGATGGGGCCCACGACTTTGAATTTGGGAAAAAAATGTGACAAAATATCAAATTAGAAAAGATAATAAAACACACGGATATTCAAATTTTTCTTTGCTGAAGTGAATACACACCAAGGGCCGATTGCCAACAAATCCGTCAGTGGATAGCATCAAGCAGAATGTTTACTATTTCTTAAACTAATGTATAAATGTTTTTTTCATAGGAATATGGCCCATATTTGACTCCATATTCTGCTGATAAAAAAAGAAAGAAGTAGTGCTTTTAAATGCCAAACTGGTGACCAGTCTTGATAAAAACTATTTTTATCTTTTGTTTGCATTGATTTTAATGTGTGTTGAACTTCTATACAGTATTTACTATGCTGGTGTATTTGTTTCTTGGAAACTTATATTTTGCAAAAAAGATATGTATGATTTGTTGTTTTGAAGACACTTTTAGTTTGGACAAGGAACTTGAAATGGTACTAAAATCCTTTCTATAAAATCTGTTTTTTGTTGAATGTACATGTAGGCACTGAGTCGCCTGAAGGATGGAAGTTTATCAGCAAAAGAACTTTGTGAGAAATGTATTGACAGAGCTATCAAAACAAGGGAGCTTAATGCCATTATCACACCAACATACAGCCAGGCTAGGAAACAGGCTGAGGTGGCAGCCCAAACATGGTCAAGGACAGGTATGCAGTAAATGAGATGAGGCTAACTTATTTTATGTACCTGGTATAAGAATACTGTTTGCTTAAATGGAATATGTAGTATAACTCTATAAAGTAGGCTTTCTGAAGGACTTTAATATGTAATATACACATTTATCATGAAAAAAATTGCTGCTTTCTTGTAATTTATTAAGTATCTGTACTCTGATAATATTTTCCTCATAAAGCTCTAGTTAGTTTATTTGTAAGTTCACCTTTGAACTCACAGGCAAATCTACCTCATCAACCAGGAAGCTTGAGGGACTTCCCATCGTAGTGAAAGACAATTTCTGTACAAATGGTATACGTACCACCTGCGCTTCACACATGTTAGAGAACTATGTACCTCCCTACAATGCGACAGTGGTTCAACGACTCCTTGACCAAGGGGCAGTACTCATGGGCAAGAGCAATATGGATGAATATGGAATGGGGTAAAGCATTGGTTGTTGTTCTACTAAATTACAAATCAGTATGACTTGATGATAACTTCATACACATGTCAAGTTTAAAGATGTAACTCACTGTACTTATATACCCAAATGGCATCAGAGTCTGTTGAAATGATATCTTTTTCAACCATCGAAGCATCATAATTCATTTCCAGCAATGGGGTAAGGTCTATCAATAATCCTTTGCTGCCAGAAAAGACCTTTGGGCGCCTTTACCTCTTGCCATATGCATGTGCCTTTGGACTTTCCTCACACTATTCCCAGTTAAGCGACTCTTGACACACCTACACGCATGCAAATGCTTCTTGTAAATTGATTTGCTAAGCTATTGCATTTAATTAATTTGAAATTCCTTTGGTTTTAATTTACATGAAAGAAGTGAATTTTGACATTATTAGGTGTTAGCCAAGTTACTATTTGTAAAATTTTAGAGAACTGTCGGTATTTTAGACAATATTTTGTGTTTGCCTCCTTCTACAGGTCTGGTAGTCTAGACAGCATATTTGGCCCAGTGAGAAATCCCTGGAAATATAACTTTACAAATACACAGGCATCTGAAGGGATCTCTGGTCCAGCTGCACGGCAACAGTCTTGTGGAAAGACCGTAAGTACAAGAGAATTCCATAGGTCTGTACATCCAGGGACAGAGGATGGCAACCCTGGGATCCAGGAAGAGGGAGAGTGGCATGTCGCTGGAGGTAGCTCAGGGGGTAGTGCAGTTGCTGTAGCATCTGGAATGTGTTTTGGGTAAGGTTATCCCTTTAAGTCAAGGAAGGGAAAGTAACTCACCTTTCAACTATTTAAAATTAATCAGGATGAAACTTTATTTCATATTTTCTATAAACATAACAATACAAATAAAATGTGTGATACAAACTTGTACATTTTATAAATTAACCTGTGTAATAAGTCTACAAATAGATGTCTTACTTTTGCAGTGCTGTGCATAATCAGTCATCATGCTGTTTGTAGGTAGGACATAAGTACATGTGTACTTGTTTCAATGCTCTGTGGTCTGTCATAAAAAGTACATGTCATGATATGTGCCTGTTTCAGTGGTCCGTGAACAGACATTAAGTACATGTGTACTTATTTCATTTCTCAAAGGTCTTACATTAAGTGCACATGTACCTGTTTCAGTGCTCTGTGGTCAGTGGTTAAGTACATTTGTACCTGTTTTAGAGTTCTGTGAAGAATGTAAAACGTGTTAACTTTCAGAAGTTGGGTGTTCTTGCTCGGGCAAAAGCCTGAGCTAGCGGGGGTCCTGCCAGTGGATACTAGCCTCTCTCTTGTCTGGCCTCTGCTCTTCCCTTCAGGAACTGATACCTACTGGCTAGAAATGTGGTCGTATATATACTAGCCATGTTAATTAACTGATAAAGTTCTTTTACACATTATCTAACAGGTAAACAAGGATTGAATAATACATAAGTTATTGATATGGATTTGCACACATAAATGGCAATAGATTCGGCTGTTTACAACAAGATAAAATTACACTGACCATCATACAAACTGCTTAGATAGGCTACAGGTAATGACTTATATATATAATCAGGGAACAAATTTATACATGAACATGTGTAGTAGATCAGCAACGACAGAATGCCTCTGGACACTGGTCAATACATAATTGTTCACAATAGATGTCAGAACACTTAACAAAGATGGATACATCATGATGAAACATCTGACTTATGTCTAGCACAATTTTGAATAATTCAATCTTACATATTAACTTTTAATAATTCATGTGGTCAGATATTAAGTACTTTTGTACCTGTTTCAGAGCTCTAGGGTCTGACACAGGTGGGTCTACACGTAACCCGTCATCCTACTGTGGAATAGTGGGGCTGAAGTCTTCCTATGGCCTGCTATCTAGACATGGATTGATCCCACTTGTCAATTCACTAGAAGTCCCAGGTATCATGGCCAGGTCGGTGGATGACGTCAATACACTACAGAGTAAGTAGGACCTTAAATTTTTTGGACATTTTGACTCTTATGTCCCTGATATAAAGCTCCTGTAAATAGTCTATATATTTGTATTGTGTTCTCCCATTTGCCAATTCATCCGTCCTTTCATTCATCCCTTCCCCGTTTCTTATTTAAACTCTCCTATACTACTTGTCTCTGGCACTTCATGTGTGGGGCATGGATTCACCTTAGTGAGGTGATGTGTCATGTATCAAAATTAGGTCACTCTGACCTTCATTTGGACCTTTGACTTGCATTGAAATAAAGTTTGACCAGGCTTAAACTCCTACACTACTAGTCTTTGGAACTTCTTACTTAGTGCATTGGTTCATCTTTAGTACGTTATCATATGCAGAAAGGGACTGTAATTCACCAAGTTGTTCTTTTATTATAAAATTAAATGTCTTGAAAATAAATTAACTTTACTGTAAAGATTTTTTATATGGTGAATGTAACAAGTCAAAAAAATCTACTGATGAGTTTTTTTTTAAAGAAGTGACCCATTAAAGCTGGAACAAATACATTCAAAGTGCAAAGGCCACAATGGCCAAGTAGTTATGGTGTCTGACTATGTTTATGGCTAGCCTCACACCTCTGGGTCGCAGTTCAAGTCCAGATACTGGCTGTAGGTCAATGGTTTTTGTCCTAGAACTCTGCCTTTCTTCCACTACTTAAACATAAAGTAACAATAAACCATATATTCATGGTATATCTGTCAGATAAAACATTACAATTTATAAACAGATATTACTATTGTATTGATGGGGTCCGTGTTCTGTCCAGTATACATATTAAATGTTGTTTCCTGAATAGCAAGTTAAATGTTTACAGATATCATGGCTGGTGTAGATGAATATGATTCAACCACACTGACAGATGAACGCTTCAAAACTTCTGACCTTCCAGAAGATATAGATGTTAAACATTTACACATAGGCATCCCAAAGGTATGAAAATCCTATTTTACACTATCTTGTGGTATAAGGTATACACTGAGGTTGTTTTCTTGTAAATTGAATGAATGAATAGATAAATGTACATATAAAGAAGTAATTAGGATTACTCTGTAAAGCCTCTGTATTGTTACAGGAATACCACGCCCCTGGTCTCTCTCCTGAAGTGTTAGATGCATGGAGGCATGCAGCAGACATGTTTGAGCGTGCAGGAGCAAAGGTGACAGAAGTTTCACTGCCCCACACCCAGTACTCAATACTGTGCTACATTGTACTCTGTTGCTGTGAAGTTGCCTCTAACATGGCCAGATTTGATGGAATTGAATATGGTATGATATATAGGAACCACTGCTTTATATAAAGTGACTTTTTATCACATTTAGTGAGACAACGGGTACAATGTTCTTCTCCATGAAATATTAGAAGTGTGAAGGCATTCATGTATAGATAACAAAACACTTTATTGTAATGGAGTAGAAGTTTTATATACAGGTTGCCTTACTAGTCTCGGCTAATGGAATATTTCCATATAGTAGCAGTATCTGGCTAGAGATGAAAGGGTCGCTAGTTCAAATTCCAGCGGTGTCTTCCTATTACAGTGGCATATGAATTTGAACTAAAAAGGATGTGCATTATCTGCAATCTTTCGGATTATGCCATATTGTATCATTGAAGGGAAATTTTAGATAAAAAAAACTACAAGAGATGTTTTTGGTTTTGATCTTTTTTCTGTTAAATTGCTTTATTATTATCAAAACTTTAATTTATGATTATAAAAGTTTTTGCTGTAAACTTCTAATCCTTCCATTTAATCATTAAATGGTCATCAGATTGTATTTATTGTCAATATGAATGCAACTTGCATGACAGTTCATTAGACATCATGATTATTTATTGGTAACCCAGATGGAGGGATTTTGTAAAGTAAAGAGTATACAGAAAGAAAATACTGATGTAGGGTTTGTAAAAATTCACAATAGAATGTAAATATCCACTACAACAGGAAACCATTTAGATTTTTTTATATCAAGTCACACCTGAAACATTTCTTTTGAAGTAAAAGCTGAAAACTGCAGGCATGCTTAATTGACAGGTCACCGGGGACAACATGAACTCTCAACAGAACAATTGTATGCCACATCTCGACATGAGGGGTTCAATGAAGTTGTTCGAGGCAGAATATTTGCTGGAAATTATTTCCTCTTAAGAAGGTATTGTATATCTCTTTATTTTTGATACCTTCAGCATTGAAGTTATTGTGATAGAAACTTGGACTGCGAGTTGCTTTTGTATTTAGCTCAGCAACAGCAGATAATGATTTTTCTCATATTTCATATATAAGTTTTTCTTGGTCTCTAGTTGTGCCAATACACGGTAAGCAAAATAAAATGGCTAACAGGTGGCCGTCTTAAATTTTGACTACGAAAGATTGTTATTACTTTTTCTAGAGAAGAACTGGATGTATCTATCTTGTTTCACCTGTAAGTTTCTCATGGTCCCTAGTCATGTTGGTTTCATTTTGGAACAGATCAGAAAAACAACCATGGCCGCCATTTTGGATTTTGATGATGAATGTTTGTTATTGCTATTTCTTGAGAAGTTCTGGATGAAACTTTCCCAAATTTCATCTGTAGGCTCTCCTTGGTTCTTAGTTTTTGTTTTGTTTATTCTGCTCTAACATGCCTCTATTATTTATCCTTTAAAATGGTGGGATGTAAAGTGGTATGTATTGCAGCCTCGATAATTTTAAGTACAAGTGACTTTTAAACAATTATAAGTAATAAATCAGTGTCATATATCATTTTGTGACATTATTTCTTCAATAACAATACAATGGAATATGTAATCTCCTTGATTGAATTATAAACTTGACCTTTTTGTTGAAGATTTTTTTATTTGTTTGTAGAAACTATGAACAATACTTTCTGAAAGCTCAGCGTGTTCGTCGTCTGATCAATGATGACTTCAGGCGTGTGTTTGGTGATGGAGTTGATCTCCTCCTCACCCCTACAACACTGACAGATGCACCAAGTTATAACTGGTTTTCTGCGGCGGATAATAGGACCCGCAACGAGGAGCAGGATATCTTCACACAGCCCATCAATATGGCTGGTACAATTTTCTTTTGTCGTTTCGTAATGCCAAATCGATAACAGTCCTATTAAAACAAGGATTTTGAATTAAAAAAAAATCGGGGAAAAAAGCTGCCTATATAACAGGATATCATGATATAAATATTTGATCAATTCATAATGTAACTTACATTTGGTTACTAGCTACAGACATACCATAACTTTTTACATTAGAAATTTGCTTCTATGGTAACAATTGTTTTATTTTCACACTTAGCCAATCAATCAGCTTGCCTTTATATATTTTAGCAAGAGGCTGCCACATATTACATTATTTGGAAAGAAATAAATTAAATAAAATTTTTCAGCATTTATGGAAGATCTATTTGATCCCACTTGTGAAATGAAATTAATTGAAATAGACTAAAGATATCTAATCAAAAGAAACTCACGAAATTTATCTGTAGTTGATAAAGAATGATATACCAAATTGTGAATATTTGCAGGAATACCAGCTGTGACTGTACCTGCTGGCTTGACCACACAGGGACTGCCCATTGGTCTTCAGTTCATAGGTCAAATGTTCAAGGACAAGGAAATGCTGACTGTTGCTAAGTGGTTTGAACAGCAGGTTCAATTTCAATATCTAAATCTGGATGATTTAGATGTTTGAAATGACAAAAATGTGACAAAGGAGAAATGCAGATGTGTTCAGATTTCAAGAGGACCTGGATATGGTTGTTTTCATTTGTTTGAGTATTAAATATTGAACAGAAATTTCATATCTTTCTCATTTATTCTTCAGTAGGTCAGAGAAAATTTATGTTTACCATTCCACAAATATTCCCCCCCCCCTTGCCTGCCAAATAAAGCACATTCATTCCTTGTTCTACTGACAAGATTGTGAAATTTTCAGATTCATCGTAATAATTCTCTACTCTTGGTAATATGGGCTTCTTTTCATCCCTAATTGATCTTTTCCAGCAGTGGCATCAACAGTTGTGTTAAACACCAAATTGTTCAATTAAATCAAAGGTGCTATCATCACCTAACCTGCAGGGTTACATAAGCAACAGCATTTTAGTACATGTTTTCAGCTTTTAATATATAATTGACATAAATTTCTTCTCTTATCTCAGTGTAGTTTTATTTCTCTAAAAGGAAATTTGAAACCAAACCTAGAATATGCATACGTCCTTGTATGGTCACTCAGATTCTGCTCAGTTTCTGAATTTCACCTACAGTTTACATTTTATTGGACTTTGTTAATTAATTGTGCCGTGTTAAAGTTTAGTCCTACATTGAGGTTAATTTCTCTAGTACATCTGCTGTGATTCGGTGTAAAACTATATCTAAATTATCTTCCTTTAGTGTTTTTATCATTTTTATTCGGGAAAAAGAGACATTAATTTTGAGATATTGAGAAGTATATATACAAATCTTCAGAAATTCGTTTGTGGCGATTAGAACAATAAAAACATTTGGTTTATTCTGATGACAGGGACACACAACACCTATAATTAGGTGCATTTTTTGTATCACTCTAGCATGGTATTATCTGTGTAGTTTGTGAATTGTGCATACACACAAATGTCAATTACTGAAGGACTATGGTTATGTACTAAAACCGACCTCTCTTTTTCTGTCATGCAGATCAATGATTTTGTTACAGAAGGCCAATGACATAAGACGTTTTTATTTAAATATGATTGCATGTAACTGAATGTTTCAGGTTTTTTTTCCAATTTCACTGATTCATATATGTAGGTAATTTTCAACTTCTGTTCTAGTGTATATAATAATTTTGCAATGAAACTGACCTCCTCCAAGCTGATATTGGGTTGCCATGCTGCCTAAATAAAATTTGGCAATTAAGATCAATTTCCTTTGAGGCAGTTAAACCATGAAAGAACCTTCATTGTTCATGTAAATGTTGAATGTGATTTAAAGTTTGAGCTCTCCAGGTAAGGTGAGCTAAAAGCCAATATTCTATAACATTTGTGATGTACCTGTTGCTGTACTCCATCAGCTTGTGTGGACACTGGCCCTTGTTCATTGCCACTGACTGCTGGTCGATGGCTATAAATAAATCTATACTGTCTCTTATTGAAAAGTTCATTTTCAAAACTTTGCTAAGAACAACAACAACGGAAATTTATGTAAATTTTTTAATAGAGCACAAACAGTATAATCACAGAATGTAACAGTCATAGAGATCACAACGATATCTACAGATATTTCAACAGTGTATTGGTCCACAAAACTCTATTTATCCACAAGAAAAATTGCATTTTTTCCATCAATTTATACTTTGTGATATTTTTTATACAAACATTTGCAAAAATGATTTTGAGTTGGAAGATGCGGAACATATACTTTCACATTAACTAAATTCAGTAACATATTATCATTATGAATATTATTATTTCATAATGATTGATAATACATTAATGTTATCATGGAATTCTTGATCACTTTGATAATTTGAATCATAAATTGCAAGCTAAACTGTTCCATATGACTAAACTTTTTTGTTTTTAAAACAAAACAAGTCCCTACAACCTTTGATTCAGCATATCAAAAGATGGAATTCTAAGAGAAACAACAATGAACTAGTATTGTGTAGAACTGACGAACACACAGATAAATTAATTTTGATGGTGAGATATTATATACATGTTGATGATAAACCATTGATATGTTAAAAAAGAAAAAATCTAATTAACGGTAATTACAGTATCTATTTGCATTTATCTATAGCACACTTGTGATAACACAATTCGTGAGTAAAGTTTTTATTTAATATTGCGGTTGTTGTAAATGAAAATAAATATTGAAAATTGCAATAGTCTTGTATAATAGGTGATGTATAAAGTTTCTATATATAACTTATCTACTTACATATATACATGTATTAGCTAATAGACACTGGTTTAATAGCTAACAGGACTTGTGTTCAAGATGCAATATTGTATAGTTGTTTACATTGTAAGTAAGGATGCTCCATTAAGACAAGGCATATTAAAGCTGTTGATATTCCTGTGACAGTCTTTCTGGCACTGTATTTTAATGCATTGCTGTCTTAAGATACAAGTACATATTTGTGTAAATACTGGGTAACTGCACCAGATATAAAACAGTGGATTAAAAAAAAAACAGAAATTTTGACATCAGAGGAATTTAAATGCAGATATTAGTAATCTTTTGATCATTGAGATAAAATCATGTCCAGTGTCCAGTATATCTAAACTTGATAAGATTCTGCTTAAACCAACAAACAAGATCTACCATCAGGATATTTCTTGGAACATTTGTTGTCAAGCTAGTTCAATCAGACAGACATGGAGGTTTCCACTGCCTTTGTAACCATGTGGTAAATGCATTTATCACTAGGGAGCACTGTCTTTGAACATGTACACAATTTATAATCATGTCTTCAGACTTCTGGTTATTGGATAGAAGTAATTCTTCTGATCATAATTCCTTAACATTTCTGTAGAATAATCATTGAAAAATTAATTCTCCTGATTCAGCGTTTTTTTTTTTTTTAAAAAGAGTCATTAAAAAAATAGCTTGACAGATTTTGGGATTCAGGAACAAAAGTTCTCGACTAAAGCGTGATGAATTGTGAAATATCTTAAATGACTCTTGTTTATTTACCGAACTTTAAAACTGTGTATACTCTGTATCGTTTGTTAATACCTTATAATTTTATCTGTTCTGTATAATAAAATAATATCAATTATGACCACTGTAAAAGGAAATGATAGAAATGTACATACACATCATCTACACTGGAAACAAAAACAAAAACAACATGTACAATGATATGGCAAAAACTTCTATGAATACAACACAAATTTTTATACAAGTTGGCCCTTCAATTAATGAACCAGCATATGTTCTGTACTTGTTTCCCAAATAAAAATAGACTAGTAAAATGTGTTAGGTATTGTATATTGGTTAGTACAGTGTATATTATATATCTATATTGCAGATGTAAGGTATTCAGACTATTGGACTATAATAGGTGTAAATATCATGATTGTTCTTTTCTAATGCAGGTGAAACTTCCATAATATCAATTATAAGGTAGTTTTATTGGATATCACATATAGACTCATGAAGTTTATAATGTAGAGGCTTTAATTGAGTGATGTAAATTTGATTTCTCTGTATCAAATTTACCTTACTAAATCTGTAACTGATTTACATATAAAGTCTACATTTGTGTGATATATATTCACATTTTGTATGACTACAAATAACTAATGCCTTGACGTATTTAAGCAAACAAAAAATTTAACAATATTTGGATTTCCTGGGGTTATTTTAGTTTTATATAGGGCAACCAACTACAATGTTATTTGTATACAACAGAATAAATTATATAAATTATTGCAGAATAAATTAAATCACTATAAATTCATACAATATGTAACTTGGAAAAAACAATTACAGGAAGATTTTGTAGACCCAAAAAGAACAATAACAGAAAAAGTGTATAGTTCCCAAATCAACAATAACAGAAACAATCTGTAGGCCCCAAAACAACAATAAGGGTAATTTCTGTGGGTCAACAACAACAATTACAGTAAGATTCTGTAGGCCTGGCAACAACAATTACAGTAAGATTCTGTTGGCCCAGCAACAACAATTACAGTAAGATTCTGTAGGCCTGGCAACAACAATTACAGTAAGATTCTGTAGGCCCAGCAACAACAATTACAGTAAGATTCTGTTGGCCCAGCAACAACAATTACAGTAAGATTCTGTTGGCTGGAAACAACAATTAGGAAGATTCTGTAGACCTGGCAACAACAATTACAGTAAGAGTGTGTTGACTGGCAACAACAATTACAGTAAGATTTTGTTGGCTGGAAACAACAATTAGGAAGATTCTGTAGACCTGGAAACAACAATTACAGTAAAATTCTTTTGGTTGGAAACAACAGTTAGGAAGATTCTGTAGGCCCGGCAACAACAATTAGGAAGATTATGTTGGCTGGCTACAACAATTACAGTAAGATTGTGTTGGCTGGTTACAACAATTACAGTAAGATTCTGTTGGCTGGTTACAACAATTACAGTAAGATTCTGTTTGCTGGCAACAGCGACTACGTTAAGATTCTGTAAGCTTGGAAACAAAATTACAGTAAGATTCTGTAAGTTTGTAAACAACAATTACAGTAAGATTCTGTAAGTTTGTAAACAACAATTACAGTAAGATTCTGTAAGTTTGTAAACAACAATTACAGTAAGATTCTGTAAGTTTGTAAACATCAATTACAGTAAGATTCTGTAAGTTTGTAAACAACAATAAGATTCTCCAAAGAAGTAATATTCAAATAAAAATCCTTACACAAGGGAATAACAGCAATAGATTAACACACAGTACACTCATTCAAACTGTGTGTCAGAACTTACCAACAAAATGTACATTCATAAAACTTTTAAAAGCTTTACACACTTTAAGGTAATTTGAAATCTTGTACTAAAAAACAAGTCATTAAATTAAAAAATTAAGAAAAGAAATGGCGATAATCCACCCTAGAATCATTGTTCTATCTTTAATACAACCTGTATAGTATGTCCTTTGTATCAATATTGTGTAAATGATAAGAGTACTAAGTCAAGGACAAGCCTGTAGGTAAGGATACATAATTCTCAATTTCCAAAATACAGGTACTAGCTTGACAGATAGTAGGGATTGGATCCTTTTCTTTTTAAATCTATCAGAAAATATTTGAACAAGTAATGCTAGGAAAACCAAAGGAATATAAAAAAAAAACATGATGCATGAACTGTATGTGTGACACATTAGA